GATAGAATCGATACAATTTGCTAATAAATTCAAATTCTACAAGAATAAAAAATTAAGAGAAAAGACTCAATTTAAAATGTTTTTATTTATATTATTAAAAATTTTAAATTATTCTATAATTTAAATTGATTTACTACGTATTTGTTTGTAAAAAATATTTTTATAAAAAATATACATAACGGGAATAAAAAATATCGAAACTATATTTCTTTTGAAACTTTTGTTCATACATAATATTATATTGATATATGTTGTTTCTTTTCTTACAGAAAATTACAATTGGTATACATAGTGGAGAAGTTGTTACTGGCGTAATTGGTCATCGTATGCCTCGTTATTGTTTGTTCGGAAATACTGTAAATCTTACAAGTCGAACAGAGACCACCGGCCAGCCTGGAAAAATTAACGTTTCGGAAGACGCTTACAGGTAAAAATGCTTACAAATATTTTAAATATTTTTAATATATAAGCATACATATATGTATATATTCACAAATATTAATAATTATTTTATATAATAAATGTTTAAAATTTTATTTCTTATTTTTTAATTATATTTTATACATAACTTTTTATAATATTTTCTCTTTCATTTGGTTTCCTTCAAATTGAAGAAAGTTTCTAACGGATTACAACTTCGGTTTCTCGACCATGTACATATTACATGCTCTCACGACATACTTTTCGCTATTCTTAAACATTTCTGGTATTCGCATTTCGAGCGGACAAGTACTTCTTACAAAGCATTTTTCTAATTCTCAAGATTCATTAAAGTAGCGACATTGTAAGATACTTCACCCGACCTTTTGAACTTGACTTTTTCTGAAACCTTAGATCTTAGACCTACTTGAATGATTCGTGCTCATGCAGCTTCGCTTTCGTATAGTACAAATGCGTATAGCACAAATGTTGCGTGAAATCTAATATATGTTTAAATATAGGATTCGTATTTATCAAAGTCTTCGTCTTATAATTTCGTTTCACTTTCTCTACATATTTTATCGAACTCTAGTTCAAGATTTAAACTTACACTCTGAGAGATTTCAATGCGCACGTTTATTAAATCAATCAAATATATATTTTACTGAATAACAGTGAAATTTTAAAACATAATTGCGTATAATTCTAAAATATAATTGGATATGGTATAATAAAATATCTCTGAGATTCTATGCTGAAACAAAAAAATAGACAGATTGCTTTTAACTTACAAATGAACGAGATTATCCGTCAATCTTGCAGTAGATCCAGATAATTTCTCAATGACTCTGGAATTTGCAATTTTTTAATTCCGTGAGGTAACGCCCAATTGTTATAAAGAGTCTCGCGGATTCGACAGCGACACAGATGCCTAAGTTCCGCCGGACGAAGCCCGCTACGTTCCGGAGGTATCAGATTTTGGTTCACCAAGTTGGGATATTGCTCGTGTAAAGACACGCTTAATATACCGCTGTGATGGGCGATGTGATCAGGAGTCCTGACGCAAGCGGTGGTCACAGTTCGTAGTAATAGCTTCAGGCAGATGAGCAACTGTTCCGGATAAATAATTTCCTTCTGACCTGGCTGCGCCTCGAATTCGCTGAGTTTCGTCAGAATAATTTCCATGGGCGACGGAGCCAATTTGTCGGACTCGACTGACGCGCCATAGCGCAGCATGATCAACAGGATGTCCGGCGCACCGTGTTGGATCGCGACCCTTAGAGGTAAAACCTGTCCGTACGACTCCATGGGTACGTCGATGAAACGTCTCTTTATCGGCGAGGACTCGCAACGGTACTCCAGCTGGCCGCTAATCGCATGATCCAAGAAGTACACCAGAGCCCGGATGTTCTCCTCGCGATCGTCGAAGTCACATTTCCAGCCGGATAGGAAGTGCGTTACGCGCGTGCCGAAGATTGCCCCGACAAACAATCGCTCGAATGTCTTCTCGCAGTAGAATATATCATTCAACAGTCGACTGACAAGCACGTTGTTGTCGATGTCCCAATCGTAACAGAGTTTTGCCGCCACGTACAGGACGTTGTGAAATTTGCCAAGCAGACAGACCGACCCGTTCTCCATCATCGTGATATTGTGATAACGCAGAGCCGAGAAAACGATCCTCTCGCACACATCCTGCTTGTCAAGATTTTCCGCTGGAAGCATCAAGTGGGCGTGATTGATAGTTCCATCGATTGGATAAAACGGCAAGTAAAAAAAGTCATAGAACTTCTCCGCGTAGACAGCGAGCAAGACAGAGATGCAAATTATCCTGGAATTCGTGGCGATGCGTTTTACGGCGCGTGGTATTTTTCACCGTTACTGCAACGGCATTGGCGAAACAACGAAGACAAATAGAAAGGATTAGACATGGTTTAATGTAAGGATAAGATCATAATGGACGACGATATTTCTCTGTTTCAGGCAAAGCGCCGCGAAGAAGGATAAAAATTTAACGGATAAAACTATCGTCATTAACATCATGACACCACGACAGTGTCGAGAATTTAAGAGAATTTAAGAATTTTCTGACAGAAGTGATAAAATGACGTTGCCGCTACTAATGATTATCGCTTCCCGACAGATCTATTCGTCACTTGTACGATTCACGCATAAATATTCGCATAGCACGCGACGTCGATATCATAAATCTTGTTACCTTCTGCACAACTGTTTATCACGTCCGTGAAATAATTGACCAGCTCTCGACGTTTGTATCGCGAGGCTAAGCAACTGCGTTCCATTTCCGAGAACAATCTATCGAAGTAGCAATCTATCAACACCTCCATGTTATTTGAGTGAGTTTTTTAATTAGGCAACGCGAAACATGTGCAGAATTCTATGGTGAATATTATTTCAGTGACACGTAAATATCGCGTTACGATCACGGTGAACGTTCACGTTTTAATGATTATCAGCAAAAGAAACAAGCCAGTATACACACGGCAAGATTAATTCGATTAGATGTAAAATACGCGTTTCGAAGGCTTCTTTGACGCCACCCTTTCTGAAACAATCTATATCTATGTCAGAAAAGACTGGTGCAGGCTTCTTATACATATACAAGTGTTAAAGCTTTTTTCAATACGACATAATTTATAATAATTTATAATAGCGTAAAAGGGGTGATAGTTTCAACAACGGTTTAATGTTAACATTTTAACATTTATGATTTGTTGCAGGTATCTTTGCATGCCAGAAAATCAAGATCCGCAGTTCCTTTTGGAATACAGAGGTCCTGTTTCAATGAAAGGAAAATCCGAGCCTATGAACGTGTGGTTCCTGTCCAGAGAAAGAGAACTGACATCGTAAATCGTTACAGCAATGAATTTTATAGCAATAATTTCGAGAAATCAGTTTGATGATTAAAATTGATGTATCGTTACAAGTAAAATTCGTATATTTATTTAAAGAAGTTAATAATTAAGACAAAGTATTAACAATGAGTATATTCTATGTAAAAGACTCTCATGACCATGTACTATATGTTTAATTATATGCGGAAAAGTTTATAAAGAGTTTATTGTATTAGGACATTATTATCGATATTCCATGATTGTTCTCAAGTAAATTATAAAATCGAGCAACAACATTTTATCTTCGGCCCGACCGACTGTTCAGCAATTGTGAATGTACAAGGCAATCAAATATAATCGTTATTTATTTGGCGACATTACGACGGCAAAAGTTTCCTTTCCCGTTTCGCGCGACTCGATGTCACCCGACAAGTCATCGATAACCGCTTCCAGCGTGGAGGTCACGCGAGATGTCCTGCCCTCTTAACTGAAAAAATCAACAAGACTAACCAGATGGGTAACCCACATTTTACTCGATTGGAAGAGGCGATGGAACCTGTTCTAGTCCCCTTTAAATCTTATATACGTTAGAAGATCGATCTGATAAATTTTACATTCTGTTCTAAAAACGCTAGTGATATTTATTTCTTCATTATGTAACATTAATTTATGTAAAATTTAAAAAGTGACGTATTAAAATATATCTTTATAAATGATTATATCATTTCTGCAAAATTATCTAATTTGCAGTAATTATTAACAATTATGCAATTGCATCCTTATATTGTACATAAGCGTAAAAATTTGCAACTTTTAAAGATAACATATACAAGTACATTTTAATGTTAAACTAGAGATTATGTTAAAATAAATAAATAATCATCAATGATCAATTTTAACGCATGATAAAGCATTATCTAATAAGTAGACAGAATGTATCATTATTATATATGATATACTATTTTGACATGTCTCAAAATTATGCGCTATATAGATTTTATTTAATTATTAGCAAAAATAGAAGCTATTATTAACAACTTACATATTGTAGAAGTTCCTAACACCTTAAATTTTTTTTAAATTCATGTTTGTCGAATAAATATGTAAATAAGCCTAAGAAATTTTATATACGATAAAAATTCTTAGAAAATAAAAATTAAATCGATAAGATGCATTTATGCTAAATAATAAAAAATAAAAAACAATCGGCTATTGATAGTACATGTTAAATACTATGTACCTTTTTTGATTCGCAATATTTTCACCAATATCTATGAACAGCAAATACCATTGCAGCGCGATTACTTGAATTACCGATCATTGTGGAAAGATGTTCGATAGATATCAAGCAGGCCATGGCCTGCGGGTGACCGCGCTTTCCATTCACACGGCCATTCACAGCCGTTGTGCGAATTACGGAGAATGGTCTAAGGAAGACACCGCCAGAAGAGAGGAAGATTCTGCAACATCAGCAGTGAAATTTTGGCAGGTGCACACCGACGACCGTGAGTGCACGCACACCTACGCGTGAGAAACAGCGCGTCCACGTGAAAGGCGGTGAACGGTAAAAAGTCAGATATTTAAATAGGGAACCGGATGGTCGATCCAGCGGGTGGCTCGGTAGAGGACGCCACAACTACCACTTAGTCCAGGTAGATACCTGTCTGACGACTATAAAGCCGACTTGGAGAGAACCCGTTCTCGTCCTTCCACGGTTCTCGCCTTTCTCCCTTCTCCCTTTCCATCAGCTCCGCACACCTTCTTCCCCTTAGACCCCGGCCCGATAGCTTCCCACTCCCCCTTTCGCCGTGGTCCCGGGGCCCGACTCCAGTCCCCACCCAGACCGCGAAACTGCATGAGTGAGTGTCAGCGGCACTCAGTACAGTTACTGACGTTCCGTGCTGTGAACGATCGGCCGTTGATCGTCGCCGTCCTCGTCGTCACCGTCATCGGCTTTAACATCTTAGTCGAGTACAATCGAGTTTTACTATGCGCCGCTCTTGATACACATATGCGGTCTGTAAGTGGTGCTATCCTGTTCTTCACGATCCCCGACGACCCCCCCGGTCTCCCTCTCTTTCACATCTCGCGGACGGTTTTCTCTTTCTCTTTTTGCGTGCCAGTCCCGTACGTTCCACCGGTCTCTCTCTTTCACGCACGGCAGGTAGTCCGCGATCTCGCACGACCACAGGTGTGCGCAAGGTGCTAACGTTTTCTCGACGAGCGGAGCCGCGGGGCCTTACGTTTCTCGGCTGGTCGACCTGATTCGAACGGCGGCGCAATTCGTCAGGCTCCCTCGTCGATCCATCGTCCTTGCGCACCATGGACCTAGAACGTGATCGACGAATTATAATCGATCGCTAGAATTTGGGCAATTTTACAAAGTGATTAGTGTTCGTCTATATTGCGCGATGCCAAAGTGCAATTTTAATTGTGAATTTTAGCATACAAATTAACAAATGAGATTTTCTCGTGCAGTCCTAAGTTTCCTGCGCATAATTATGCAATGTGATCTAGCGAGATCGGATAAGAGCAATTTTAATTTGATCGATAGTTTGAGGATCGTGAAAACCTCGAGGACGTAATTGTGGTAGAACAGATATTAAAATCTATCAAAAGATTTTATTATTTTATATGAGGTTTGCAACTTGAAAAAAGTTGATTAAAAAGATATATAAATTTTTTCTCAAACGTTTAGATCGATGTTAAAGGAGCAATATTAGTTTAGTATTTCAATGTATACGTTGCGTACACGTGTCGGTGAAGTAAACGTGCCGATGAAAAGCGATTTGTTCCAACGGCACTCGACTTTGATCGAGTGTTATATTGCTCCAAATTGCAGTTGTTCAAAGCGAACGGTCCTCATTGCGTTTACGGTAAATTAATATCACGGTAAATTACGATAGTTACACACGTTTAAAACACACAGCCATTTCGGGAAACAATTTCATTCGCGCGATTAATGATTCTAATGATGAGATAAATGAATATGAGTTTATTGTACGCTTGAGATCAATGATAATATAAATGTTATCATTGATACGGTCACTATTCTGTCTGTAGACAGAAGAAAAGGCCGCGAAAGGAAAGAGAAAGAGAAACCCGTTAAGAGAGAGGCTCGACTTAATCCTTGACTTTCCAAATTCCTCGTCAAGGTGAAGCCTATCGAGTGAGCCACGGTGACTTCGTATGCACGTATGGATGAAACCATCACGATGACCGTACCTCCGCCACTACCAGCGAAGACACAGGCCCGGGATGCGAGCCAGGCCACTCGGCAGACTGTGTCAATCCGGACCGTTTCCCCTTCCGTCTCGCCGCCTCTCGCCAACGGGCCCGGAGCAACGGTATTTGTCGGAGTTAGCGCTCCTACCGCCGATACCGTGACAACTTGCAGGAGAAGAATCCCGGAAGTGCAATCGGCGAACGGCGGCTGTGAGGAGCGGAGCAACGTCGACTCGCGGCAGCAACGGTGGCAGCATCAGCATCAACAGGCCGCGCACATAGTAAAGATCAAAATCAATCCGGATGGCGACAAGAACGGTAGAGTAATATCGACCGTACGGTTGACCCTGGACGAGAACGACCGGAATCGCGAGATCGAGAACAGTATCGCGCGCGAGCGCTCGGTCAAACGTGGCGACGGTGCGGTGGTGGTGAGTGCGACAAACTTGGTGAACGAGCAACACTGTGCAAGTGCCGGTGTCGGTGAGGGCTGTGTGAAAATCAGTGTCTTCAGCGGCGATCCGGCGACTGGTCCCGACAATCGGGAGCGCAACAACAACAACAACAACAACAACAACAACAACAACAACAACAACAGCGACGACAGCGATAAGCGTAGTCAGGATAACGATAGGAGCGACAATAGAGACATGGTGCACCGCGGAACCACGGAAACGCTGAACTCATCTACACTCGGCAGCCGTTCGAGCGCCTGTTTTTACTACAATTCTTACCAGAGTCCGTTAAGCGGCATGACGGTGATGACGAGCGGACAGTGTTCGCCTAGCGACACTTTGGACAGCGGCACCTGTAGCGACCTTGACGGCACACCGCCGCCGTTGCCGAAGAAGAAGAACGCCAGCACGGTGATACTGTCCAGCAGCACGCACAACCGGACCGGTAGCTTGACCAGCAGCGGGGCCGAGGTCGACAGCGACGACAATGAGAGCAACATCAGCTGCGACTCCTTGAACGGCGCCGAGATGAACGGCGACGCGAGCGAATACCGAGTGCACGAGGCACCGAAGAACGTTGAGGAAACGATAGCCGTTGTTGAGAAATTCGATCGAATTGCATTGGCGAACAGCATTGACGAAACAATCGCGGAATCGAACGGCGTTCATCAACAGGTCTCGGCGATAACGGAACTCGGCTGCGCGTCGTGCTCGCCGGTGTCGTCGGCCAGCGTCTCGCCATCACCATCCGGAACGTCGTCCCTGTCGAAGGCCTCCTCGACACCGCGGGTAAGGAGCCCGGACCCCGCGATCGAACAGAACGGTAAATCGGCATCGTCACCCGTAGTTAAGGAGTACACGTATGAGGAACGGAAGCAACGGGAACAGGAAAGGATAGAGCAGGAGTGCGCCGATACCACTCAGAATCGATCGACCGGTCACAAATATCTGTACGAGGACGACAGGTACTACAATTTCCATGTGAACGAGTTGCGCCGTAACAATAAGAACTCAAACGGCGAACACGGTGTGACCGAGAACGATGAGTGTTTCGCCGGTTACAAAATTCATGATAAGGAAGCCATACGAAGTGCCAAAGGGACCGTGCGCGGTGTGAAGAACAGAGTACGAGCGGGCATCGCAACGTTCCTGCAGTCGCCTACCTCCAAGGTATGAATCAACAAAATAATTTAATTTCCAATCCATATATATATATATATCGTAATACTCGTGCAAAATTTAACTCCAAAAAACATAAATCAATTCACGATGTAATTGTAATTGTATTATATTTATAAATTTTCATGTGTACAAAGAGCGATAAAAAATAAAATATGATCCAATTTAGAAATATTTATTTAGTAAAAAAGAAATGTCCTACATAATATATTTGTGTGTTTTCATAAATATATACAAAAGCGATAAAAAGAGGAGCGTGATTTATTTCAGGAATATTTACTCAAAGCTAAATTATTTATTTAGTTCTAAAAGAGCGCAATTAATTTACAGTAATATCAATTTTCAAATATACACAAAAACAGAGCATTGGCAGAAATTAACGTAAATTTCAGATAAGGGTTGTTAGAGAAAATTAATTTAGAGAATGTCTCGTTAATGACGTACGTCATCATCGCATATCATTAAATATTCACTCCGTTTATATAGAAAGGCAACTAATAATGTTTTATAACGTTTCTCTTTACGTTTGCGGCCTCACGCACTTTAAATATCGACCAATCGTCACGGCAGTAGGGTTGAGCCCCGTAAACGATGGGTCGACTTGTTATGCAAATCAGGTACTGGCAAGTACCTGAGGTGCGTATTGACGAGCTAGAATCGGTATCGAACAGCTCGGCGCAAGCCCGCCGGGCTTGAACCGCGCTCAAATCCGTGCATCAAGCTAGGTGCACTTGATTCGCGTCTACGGGTCGACGCGAAGCGTTAGATTTACAGTTAGATAGCCGCGCCGTCCTCCATCGCTTGCCACTTTGAATCAGATGGCATGGATTGGATGGCATGGAACTATATCATACATCCTATTCCAACTCGCATTCCACACATATCTCGTAAGACACGTCTCGTAAGTCATGTAAGTCAAAGAAACAAGCAATTTTTATATCATTTTTAAAAATAGAAAACATCGTTGAGTTATGTTTACGGATCTTTGCAAAGCTGCGATTTGTTATGTTGGAAAGAAAAAGACTAAGATTTATTTCTATTTTCTCACAATTGTCAATACGTTAAGATTTTATGATCAATCTGAAATTATTTAAGGGATCTCTGTCGTATCTCTGTCATAAAATATTAAATGAAAAGTGACAAGAATAGACAGATTCTTTGATAGCTCAGGCAGGAGATCGTGCGACAATCCGCGGTAAATGATAATCTTCCCGCAATGTCCTTTGACAAATATTTAACTATCGTCTTATCGTTGAACATGTTTAATCGTCGAAATAATCGGCTTACCTGTAGCCGATATACGAGCTTATTTACTACCCACCCACGATTATTTGACGCATTTCATGTTAAATTTCTCTCGATTTCTATCCTGGCTGTTAAAGTCTCGCGAAACGAGATCATTCGAGGCAAATGGCATAATAATATACACGCATATACATTTATATAATACATATATTAGTGCGTCTTTACCGCAAAGTTTCCGGTGTTGCTATGCGAACGTCGTGCGTACACGACGTTCGTACCATCGATGCGGAACGGATCGACGTAACGGTAGATTCGATAAAACGATATTACGGCAACGTACTAAGAAACGCGACGTACGCAACGTACTGAGAAACCTGGGCTGCGAAACACAAGCTATGTTACATCTTCATGTTCGTCGTGCTCCTCGCGTATTCCTCTTTGTTATCGCGCACCCGCGCTGCTATCCCATCTCGCTCGCTTGTGTGCGGTCGTGCGGCCTATTTTGCGAAATTACAGAGACCGAGGATACCTTGCTTGCACGCAAATGCGCTAGCAACGGCTGAGAAATAATCCCGCACTTCCTCGCAGGCTAAATCTACCTTTGAGACTTCCACGGCACGCCTCGATTGCACTTTTCACGTGCAGTCCACCGCGAACGTGCGATTATCTCCGTTCCCCATGAAAATCGGTACTCGCGACGACGCAAATAACGACGATTTCAATGAGACGCGTTCTAATCGCACGTTCTTGTAATTATCGAAACTGTAGCGTGTGTCCATCGCGGCATTAAACTGCTCTTTTAGAAATATATTATTTTAAACTATTTTTTTGTGAAATAATAATATTTTTAAATAATATTTTTATTAGCTCGAGGAATTTTCATATTGTAAATATACAGATTGTTCACATGTGAATTGCCATTTAAAAATCGACGTAAATAAATAAAAAGATTTTGTTAGTGAAAAAAAACATATAGTAGTCGATCATAATGCTCGATACACTTTGCATAATGTAGCGTGTTCTCTGGAAATAATGATTGAAAGTAACACTTGCACTTTCGGAATGTTCGCTTCAAGCTCGGATAAAGATTTGATTGATTGCCATGGAATGCTGCTATACCAATAGATTTTTAATGTGGTTGATACATTAACCGCACACGGGTAACTGCATTTTACGACATCAAAATATCATGCGTGATTTTGCAGACGCGCCACTAACCGGCGTAAGAAACTTGATTTCACATTAAAAAAAAAAAGAGAAGAAATTAAGTAGGTGTACCGAGACTCCGACCTGAAATCATAAATATCGCTCCGGGTAAACCACCGTGCAGTGTGCCCTACATTCGTCGTTTCTCGCTTCCTCATTGCACACGAAAGCACGCAGATTCATCTCGAACTCCGCGAATCTCATCTGTTCAGTACAAGGACGAACTAATATTTTTTTTATTTTTTAATACACAATTAATTTTAATATAAATATTTTAATTAATATAACAAAAGCAATTTAATATGTATGGAATATTAAATTGTCATTAATAGTTTCCACTGTAAAATTAGACAGAGATTATGAAATTATTAATTAAATTGTAACGTTTTTGACAATTGTTTTATATTTATTTCGTACGCAATTAAAATATTGTTGAAAATTAACGCTTTTTATTGCTCTCTCTCTCTCTC